CTTGCCCTTGGTGAAGCCATGCTGGCTGTCTCGAATCACCTCCCTGTCCTCCATGTGCCTTAGCATAGCTACTAGGAGGATCTGTTCCATGATCTTCCCAGGCACAGAGGTGAGGCTGACAGGTTGGTAGTTCCCAAGGTCCTCCTTTCTACCCTCTTTAAAAATGGGTGCAATGTTTCCCTTTTTCCAGTCACCAGGGACTTCACCTGACTGCCATGACTTTTCAAATATCATGGACAGCAGCTTGGCAACTACAACAGCCAAGTCCCTCAGGACTCTGGGATGCATCTTATCAGGTCCCATAGACTTATGTATGTTCAGGTTCCTCAGGTGGTCATGAACCTGATCATCTCTTACAGTGGGAGGGACTTTGCTCCCCCAGTCCCTGCCTTGCAGTCCTGCCTTTACTGGTTAAGACCTGCATTGAGTAATCCTGGGTCTCTGAAACCAGGGAGGAAGTTTAAAGCAAGGAAGACTTGTTCTTGGTGTAACAGGATAAGGGTAGGGAATGCCCAAACTGGATGTAAATAAGTCCATGTGACCTGGTGGGATGTATCCATGAGTGCTGAGGGAGCTGGCTGATGTCATTGTGAGGCCACTCTTGATTATCTTTGAAAGGCCTTGGTATGCTAGAAGAAGTTCCTGAGAGAAGGCAGCAATGAGGAGGATCCCAGAGAACTACAACCTCACATCCACCCCGGGAAGATAATGGAGGAAATCCTCCTGAAAACCATTGCCAAACACATGAAAGACAAGGTCACTGGGAGTAGTCAGCATGCTTTTATGAAGATGAAATTGTGCTTTGCGAACTTCATAGCCTTCTGTGATGAGATGACTGACTTGGCAGATGAGGGTAGAGCAGTGGAGATGTCTATTTTAATAAGGCTTTTGGCAGTCTCTGGTAATATCATAAATAAGCTGATGAAGTATGGAATCATAGAATCATGAAATAGAATCATAGAATAGTTTGGGTACAAGGGACCTTTAAAGGTCATCTAGGCCAACCCCCCTGCCATGGGCAGGGACATCTTCAACTAGATCAGGTTGCTATCCAGCCCAGTATGGGCTGGATAATTAGATAGTGAGGTAGATTGGAAACAGCCTGAACTTCTGGGTTCAAAGGGTTGTGATCAGCAGCACAAAGACAAGCTGGAGACCAGTCTCTTGTGTTCAATACTAGGGTCATACCACTTAACATCTTCATTAATGACCTTGACAATGGGACAAAGTGCATGCTCACAAGTTTGCAGATGATCCAAAACTGGGAACAGCGGTTGATGTACCCGATGACGTCCCTCTGAACAGAGACAACTGACAGGTGGGAGAAATGGGCAGAGAGGAACTTCATGAAGTTCAGTAAAGGGAAGTGCTGTCCTGCACCTGGGGAGGAATAACCCCATTTACCAGTAAAAGCTGAGGCTTGACTTACTAAAAGCAGCTTTGCAGAGAGTCTATGTTCAAGCACTTCCTGAATCACCGGTTACAGCCTGGTGTTTTATCAGTACTGTTTCTCACCATGTTTAGGCTGATGTGACTGAAGAAGTCCTTTCTGCAGCTGCCTGCAGTCAATCGGTGTAAGAGCAGCATGTGACTGCTCCCTGAGATAGATAGCGTGGTGCCAGTTTCAGTTTGAGATACGGCACGGGTGTGTGAAGTCTGGCAGTTCATGACCTGCTTCAGAAGCAACTCCTGAGGTTAAACAGTTAAAGGCTGTCACTGGGCTAGTAATTATTTCCAGCCCTCAAGCTGAGGAATAGTAAACCTACCCTCGGCACAACCCTAGCCTCATTGCTACCCACTAGCCTTTACCCACTGCCAGACTAGCTGATGGGAGAAGCAAATGTGGTAAACTGAATCTTGTGAAAAACAGCAAGAGAATCGGTTGCTTCTCAGCCACGGGTGTCTGCTGGTTAGGTTCATCACGCAGGCACACAGAATTTGCCAGTACCACACAGACTGCTGCAGCTTTATCATGTCTCCTGACCCCAGGAAAGGGATCTCCAGGGAGGCCTGCTAGCACTCCCTACTCAACCCAGCACCTCCCACCGGCATGGGGGTTTCTGCCTTCCCAATGCTAAAATAAATATTTGTTAATGTGTTTATTTGCAAACATATTTTCTTGGAAAAATGTTTTCCTAAACTGTCAAGAACCCCATGAATGATTTTGATATAACAGAGTAGAAAGCCTGCACGCATGCTCTATGAAACTTCTCCTTCCTGTCACCCTCTTCACAAGCATCGCATTTCCTCTTGTCCACTGCTATGTCATGTCATTCCAGGGAACTAGCCCTCCAAACCACCAGCCACTCGGGGAAACTTGTCTCTCCTGTGTTTTCTTAGGGATAAATAACCCTCCATGGTGGCTGAGGCCAGCCTGCTCCTGTAGCCTCCCTGGTGCTCAGGCTCCTCGAGGGGAAAGCTAAAACCAAGCTCGCTCTGTCAGCTTCATGTGCCTCCTGCTTTTGTTAAAAAATTCACAACTGGCCCGTGCTGACTGAATAGAATTACAAAGGTAAATATTTATTCATGTGCATGAGGTGTCCCAGCCAAACTGGGCACATCGAAGTGATTTTTCTTTAGGGGTTTTATAGCTTACACCATAAGGGTATGATATGAATCATCCAATTACCTACTAATGCATATTTCTAATTATCCAATCATAAAAAAGTATATTTTGTAGGTCTTGCAGCATCATCATCCATCAGCATCCTTGTGGTTTATCTGTTAATCCAGATGTTTCAGTTGTTGACCAACAAAGTTATCAGGCATCATCAGCAACCCTGTTTCTCTTAGATACGGATTCTTCAGTTAATTTTGTGAGAACAGAGGTTTCCTTATCTTAGTCAATCACTTGTTCTTTTTAGTAGGGGTAGATGATGGGTCTTGGGTCTGATGATAATGACACAGCCATTATACACTAATAAAGTTGTTAGCTCCTAAGGACTGTGTGGTCTCAATTTATACCACGCTATCCAGGCAGAAATGTAAAAAGACGGGGGGGGCGGGAGGGCAGCGAGAGAGAGAGAGAGAGAAAATGAATTGCAGGTAGAAAGATCTGGCAGACAGCAAGCTCTTGTCTCTGCAGATTAATGGAGATGAGGAAAACTGGTGCTGTGGTATGACTCCACTGATGGCAGCAATGAGGGAAACAGCAGTTAAAACAACTGTGCCCCTTGCCTGAGGGCTCCTAACCTCCCCAGGCTCCTCTGTACTTCTTCCAGGCTTGGGAAGATACTCTGTCCTAAATATTAAGCGCTGGAAGTGGGGAGAGACAGCCCATTTGTGCCACATTTGGGGTTTTTCACAATATTTCAGGCCGCTCCATGAGGCCCTCCTGCCGTTTCCCGCCACAACACCCGAGGCGATCGCAAGGCGGGCCGGGAGCAGGACTACATCTCCCATCATGCCCGCCGCCCGGGGGGGAGCCGCCGCCATTTCGGCACCGTCCCCCGGAGCCGTTGGGTCGGGGTGGCGCCGCGTTCGCTGCTCCCCGCCGCCATGAGCCGCCTCATCGCCGGCGTGGGCGTGGGGATGGCGCCGGCGAGGAAGTCCAGCTCCTCCTGGACCTGTGAGTGCCGCCCCGACACCCTCCCTCTGTGTCCGCTGGCCCCCTTTCCCTCCGGGAAGTCCGGTGGGTTCAGGGCCGGCCGGCTGGGTCAGACCGCTGCCCTTACAGGGGGGCCGCGGCCTCGAGTAAACGCAGCGTCACCGAGGCAACCCGCGGGGCACTCCTATGGGGGAGCCCGGAGGACGGATTAGTCAGGGGACAGGGTTTGGCAGGCCTTTGGCGGGGATGGCAGAGTGAGTGACAGCGTTTGGTAGTGGTGGCAGGGTAGTTGACAGAGTTTAATAGTGGTGGCAGGGTAGGTGACAGGGTTTGGCAGAGTTCAGCAGGAGCTACAGGAGAGGTGACAGGGTTTGGCAGAGGCGACAGGGTTTGATGGGGTGACAGGGTGGGTGACAGGGTTTGGCAGAGGTCACAGTTTGGGAGGAGTTACAGGTCAGGTGGCAGGGTTTGACAGGACTGACAGGGTTTGGTGGGGGTGACAGGGTTTGGCAGGTAGACAACAGGATGATCCCCGACAGATCTGGTTGTGGAGGGATCGTTGATCCCTGGCTTCATCTGGCCCCAGTGAATCCATTGAATGGTGTTTTGCTTTGAGTTTTTCATTATGTCAAATTCTTTTGTGTTTAGGAGGGAATTAGAGACAGCATAGGGATAAAATATTTGATTTGGCAGATAAAAGAAAAATAGCTAACAAACAATACAGTTAGTCTTAGCCTTCTATTCGTCTTTTAAAGCACTGAAGATAAGATTATAGTTGCCCTGGTGTAGCCAATAGGTGTTTTATTGTTTCCTATAAAGTACAATAACAGTGAAAACATTTATAATTTAAATGAATTTAAATTATTGCAGATCAGTAATGTACTCTGAGAATATCAACCAGCTTTTTGAAAAGAATGAGATTAACCTTAATAAGCTTTTCTCTCAAGCTAAATTTAAAATTCTGTGGCAAGAGACCGTTAAATGTAACTAGAAGATTTGGCATAGCTCACATTGATTTCCATTTATCTGCATTGGTTTTGGAGTATTTTCTGCAAATTTGAACTAAGTAGTTGGTCTAGATTTGCAGGTCCCTATTCAAGCATGGCTGCATTAGCCATTTAGTATCTTCAAGAGAAAAAAATTAATCTTAAGTTTGTATTAAGATTTTAGATACAACTGTTTTTATGTACTACAGTATATGGTGACAATCTGCCTCCTTCAGGATGAATTGCCAGAAAAGTTCATTTACCCAGTGGACAAAATATAGGGGTCATATGATAAATATGTGTTTAGCACGTAACTGAAGTGTGTGCCCTTGTATGACAAAGGACTGCTTGCCCATTCACATGACTCAGTAGGCATCCATCATAGAAGAGGGAACAGCCACATGGTAGGTGCACACATAGCCCCCCAAAAGGCTCAGAAAGTCTCTTTGACTCACCCTAGCCAAAGGTAGGGTGCTGTTTTGCACTGAGGAGGTGCTGGTTCATTTGGGATCTCAGTAAGAAAGGTATGGGCTCTCAAGGCTAGTTAACTGGTTTATTGCATAAAGAATAACAGTAATAGAAAACGTGATAGCAATCTTATGTCCCTTCTCGTGCTGAGGACCCCGGCTATTGCAGCATGAGGCAAGCCCCTTCACATTGATCAGCGTGTTGCACAGATCCCGTCTGTGGTGAGGTTCACACTCATTGTGGTCTTTAGAGCTTTGACAAGACTTTTAGAAGTAAATAACTATTCTTCATTTCTGCAGTCAAGTAAAGGAACGTTACATGTAGATCTGCTTTTTAATCTCAAGACAAGACAAAGAATGCAGATGGTGTAATCTACTTGTACATGTACTGAGTCACAGCCATGTACAGGCTTCTCTGTTACAGTCAGACAGCCAAGTTCATCCAGCATTCACCGAGGTACGGTGAAAACATTGCATTCTTACACATCTCCAGAGGAACGAGTTAAAGGTGATCATGGTGTGTGCTCAGGTTACGCAGTGGTCACTCATGCTGACATACGGGCCTCTGCAACCAAGGCCTGTGGTTAAACTCTGCCCGGATTCTCCTTGAAATCGCTGTCTCCTCGTTACAGTGTCTTCTGCAGTGACTTGCTACAGGTGCCCTTATTACGCTGTGCTAACTTCAGTGGGTTTTTTTAGTGTGCTTCCACACTGGAAGTCTTGCTTCTTTCCTTGCTTAAATCTGTGCTGCCCTTCAGATTTATGGAGCCTTAATATTTTAACTTCTCTGGAGTTTTTAATCAGTATGAGTTTTAATTTGCTGTGATTTGGTGGCATTCTGGTGCCAGACGAGATTCTGCTGAAAAAAAGTTTTCTACAGGGACTCCAGAGCTGTGGCTATACGCTAAATCTAATTTGGCTTAACTCTAGGTTGCTGCTGCCCCTTGCCCTCAGCCACTTGTTTTGGCAGTATTATTTTTGTGACCTCACAGTCTTAGTCACGGGAATTTTCATTCAGATTAGATGCCGAACAGCTCACTGTGCAGCTGTGAATTTCGGAGCCAGCATGAGGAAGGCGCAGTAAAAAGTGGCTGGGGAGACAAGACGGGGTGGAACTAGCCTTTTCAACCTCTGTTTGGACTTTACATTTGGTTAGAGTGGTGTGTAATGACAGCTGGACTGCTAATAGAAATTAATTAGAAGGGTTCTGTCTTGCTAATAACTTTTCTCTTTTTGCAAAGCTAAAACAGTACCCATACGTTTTTTGTTGTGCATGATTAATCTGTTAAAATGATGTTTAAGGCATGCATTACACTACCTTCTTATGTTCTCATGATTAACCTTAAATCTTAGACCTAGTAATTTCTCTGCTACGTGTACTGTAGCGCTTGATACCATAAACAATTTCTACTTTTGATTGGTTACTAATCTTTTCTACACTACTTTATTAGTACTGCTGCAGCGATTTTCTATATTAATATTACAATATAATTATTATACCAGTAAGATTAATACTTGAAACTAATAATTACACAACTTCTTAACAAATGTGTGTAATTTTAGTGTATTGTTTCTTGTCTTACACCAAGCAGGTGATGGCCATCTATTTATGCCAGGCTGCACTTCAAGCTTCTTACTTATACTAACCCTTAGACTTACTGTTTAACTAGCAGAACTTACAGCAGAAACTAAAAACTGAAACAAATCTATTAGTGTGTGGAGTAGTCCTTTTAATAAAGTAATTATTTTTAAGATCTCCAAACCTAACAGAAAGTGTTTATTAAGGTGTTTCTGCTGCTTGTCTGCCACTTGTTGGCCTTTGCCCCATGCCCCGAAAGAGAAATTAGCACTCCAAAGGTCACATGCACAAGAGCATCATACTAGAAATATTTAGAAAAATTATTTTTTCTTTTTTTTTTTTCCAAGTTATATCTTATATTAGCTTCTGTTTCCTGAAGGTATTGTTCCCAGGATGAGAAATGATCAACTTACACATGCACTCCTAGCTGTTGCAGTTTTAAGGCCAGCATATTGAGGTACACCAAATTTGTAGTTGGTTTATATAATTATGCTTGGTTGAAAACTGACAGTGTAGGAGTTGCAGGGCCTGCCAAATAGTGTGGATGCCTGGCAGCAACAACACTTGCTGGAGAGGTGGAGAAAGCAGCTGGGGCAGATAATGGCTTTAGCTGTCATACTTGTAGGAGGCTGCTGTTACAAATCTCTCAGAGCCCTGGCAGGTGTTTTAAGCTGACTTGTTAATGACCAGACATAAGCTCAGAACCAAGAGAGTTTCTTCCATCAAAAAGGAGATTCTTAGAGCAGTACAAATGAAACATCAAATTTAAAGGTGTTTTAATTAAGATTGTCACTACATGATAAAGAAGTGTGCTGCACATGTAAGTCGTCACAAGAGTATGTAGTTAGGAATTGCTTAGGTTTGATTGTTCCATGTGTCGTTGATAGATAGCTCCTGTGTAACAGGTATCATTAACAGGTGGCCAGCCTATTGCAGACTAATGCATTACCTGACCTGTCAGTGTCTTGGAAAACTAAGGTCTTACAAAGGCATCAGAACATTTGCAGATGGGTACATCTGCATGAACAAAAACTGAGGAGAGAAGTAGAGCATCAGTTTCAAAACAGAGCTTCCTTTCATGGTCTTACTATGAATATAAATTATCCAACCCTAAAGAATGCAGGAAGATGTATCTATTTTGTTATTTGCCATTAAACCTATTTTAGTATCTGTTCTTCTGGTTCATTTCTTCTGATGTGTCCTACTTCTAACATCTGTTCTGCTATTCTATTCCATGTGACATAACTTATGTATAAGCTGCACCTTGATGTAAGTTAGACTATTTGTGGAAAAATTAGTCATAAAGATCTAATCTCTGTTTTATGTATTGGAAATATACACATTTGCCCTGTCCTAAGGCCTTCACCCTGTCATAAAGCTTAAGGTTAAAGATCATAGGCTTTTTCTGTTCTGCACCTCTTGACACATTTGGAACAAATGAGGATGCCATTTGACACTTTGAAGACAACTCTGAACTATAAACAGCTGGTGTAACAAGTCTGATAATGTGGAGCAGGGAAAAAACAATTGGGGGTGTTGCAAGAAGGAATGGTCTTTTATCAGGTCACTACAGGAGTAAAGCACTACTCAGTTTTCCCTGTCCATGAAAAAAAGGATTCATGGCTTCTTTCAGTAAGTTAGACTGGGACAAAATCTGTCTGCCAGGTGAATGCATTATACTCTTTACTTACCAATCTTAGTTATTGCTGTGTGTATCCAGATCACATAAAAGTATAGAGGCCAACTACAGTAGAGAGAGTTACTGCACAATTACAGTAGCTGCTCTGAGTTTACTAGTAGGGTGAGTTAATGGAAAAATGTTCATTCTACAAAAGCAAAATGTTTTGTAGGACGGTAATGTTTTCTTTCAAAATTTAGGACAGGATTTAAAAAGAAAAGTTGGCCTAGGGAATCTAATTTAGGTAGCTATGATCAATAGATAATAGAACCTCCAATTCAAAGAACTCCATCACTTATACGGACTCATGTTAGGTTTCTAAGCCAGAGGAGGACAGTGAGGAGTTACCCTTCCTCCCCCATTACAACTCCCTCCATTTTAGTTTTGCTGTAGTGTAATCCTTTTTAAAGTCTTGGCATTTCCTAGATGACAGTGTTACCTTTTCAGTTATCTCTGGATGTTGGTTAGCTTCACTAGTTTATGTTCCTCATTTACCTAGGGACTTCGGTTCTTGATAATAAAATCTCCCTTCAGAGAGTTGCAATTCCTTCCTTAAGGACCAGCAGTTGTCTTCTACCATATTAGCGAGTGGTGATTGCTCTGAAGGTCAGCATGCTCAGGATGCTTAGAAGCTATTCATAAACTCTTCCCGGAGTTGTCTCTGCTGTTTCAGTAAGCCTGTGATTGTAATTTAAAGTTGCAGAGGTTGGGACATTAACATTTTCTGTATCCTACGATACATTAAAATGCCTTAGGAATCTTAAAAAAATAGGATTGCATGATTAGTGTCCCTCTATAGTACTCAATATTGCATAAGTAAATACTCTTCTGTATATTTGACCTTGAAAACCATTATTTCAGGTGTTCCACCTGGGTACTGTTCCACATATGTCTGCATAATACTGATCTCTGTTTTATTTTGCTTAAGTAAAGTTGTTCGTGTTTTCTCCCAAAAAGCTGTGTTGCATCTGGAGTCTCTTAACAACATATTCGTACTGAAATGATCCCTTTTTGTTGCATTCACACAGATAAAGTTCTAGGATCTCAAATCCCGTCTTAAAGCATCACCCACCATTCTGTGATATTAGTAGGCCTATTAATATTTATTTCTGCCTAGTCCTTCCTTTTCAGATGAATGCTTAAGCCCTGTGCGTCTTTGAGATATGTTTGCAATTTCTCATGCAGCAGTATCTCATGATGGAAACTTTAAGTCAAGTTTCAGTATCTGGCAAAGGGAACAGATTGCTCGGAACAGGGAAACAATTTTGACCCTGAATACTAAAGATGTCCAGAGAGCAGGATGTTTATGATGTATAGAAAATACAGCGTATGTTGGCATTATTGTTAGTTCAAAATCTCTAGCCCGGTGTATATGATAATCAGGCTGTTTCCTTCAGGTTGATAAATCATTCTGATGAATAAGCATGCGGGGGGGGTGAGGGGAAGGAGCTAAAATACTATAGTTAGTTCAAAATCTCTAGCCCGGTGTATATGATAATCAGGCTGTTTCCTTCAGGTTGATAAATCATTCTGATGAATAAGCATGCGGGGGGGGTGAGGGGAAGGAGACCTAAAATACTGCTATTAAAAAAAAAAAACAACAATGGCTATACTGAGTCAAACCAATCAATGTTTCTGATTGTGATAGGATTTCAACCAGCTGTGTGAGAACCTTCCTTCTCATCCCAGAGCAGCTTAATTTCTTGAAGAACCACTGCTGATGAGGCTTTTTGAATACCTTGTAAATATCCACATGGGTTCACTTTCCCCTATATATGATATTCTCCATGTGGCCACTAGTTATCTTGTCTAATCTACTTTGTAGGACCATGAACTTGTTGATCGGTGATTTCCTGGACCCCACTAAGACAGACAAATTTCTGCCTCAGGTGACAATCCTCTGTGATTAGATCTAGTTTTAAGCACAAGGCTAAAAAGGTTGAGCACAGGGTTACACAGCACAATTCATATTAAAAGAGTACTACAAACTAGACAGTGAACAAAATACTACATCTGAAAATATCTCCTTAATGTTGAGGTGAAAGAGAGGTGTCCCTTCTCTGGAACTAGCTGTCCCAACTAAAGATTTTACTGTCTACTGAGTGGAGGCTTAGCTGGTGAAAAGGCTTTTCTTAGAGCTCGCAAATGTACTACCAGCAAACTCATTTTGTGAGCTGAGTTGGTGATCGAAGTGAACAAGGCTACAATTTTTGCCTACAGTTGATTGGGGAACACTTGCACAGAAGGATCAGCTGATTGACCCCAAAGGGCAATAACTGAATTGGTGGTAGCATGGAACAGCCGGAACTGATAAGGTTTGAAGGCAGCATAGCTGGATGCAGAAAATGACATCTTGTGGTTTGAATGTTCTAGTTCTAATATGTAATGCCTATTTTTGACTGTACTGTAACTTTCCTTTATTTCAGATGCCTTCAGTGTTTGACAAAGCACCTTTCCAGATATGCTGCAGATATTAAGTCATTGCCACCCAACATAAAGGATAAACTGATTAAATTAATGAGTAGGCAAGGGCAAATAACTGATTCAAATATCAGTGAGGTAAGAACCCATTCAAAACTATTCTGTCTGTGGTAGTTAATACACAAGGATGAACTAAATTAAAACTGTTTACATGAGACAGCAGATAAATTCAGGCCTCCTTACTCTGTCCATGTCTTTACAGGTTTTTTTCTTAAACTTCATAATGTTAATAGTCCTGTATTAGTAGTAATAAGATTATGTTTGTAGTGACAAGAAATTAAAAATGTTCTGCCTTCAGTGATAATTGACTTCTGTGTAATCAGCTGACTTATATTATGCCTTTTCAGAATGGGAAACTGGACTTTATTGCAAACCAGTGTCTGTTCCTGAATGTAGTATGTTTCAAGAAGATAGTGCATAATTTAGTAATGAAAAGATTTCAGGAACTTGTTAGTTTTCTGTTATGTTCTATTGACATTATGCACATGATCTCCATATAATTTATTTAAATCTTGATTCTTTGAAATATGATGATGCTAGGGCTAGAAATTGATAGTTCAAATTCCCTCATCTGTTTTGCTCACTGATGTGTGTCAGTGTTTCAAAATGAAACCAGTTAATGACTTTTCTTTAGCTGTAAAGTCAGGGGCACTTCTATCTATCTGCTGTTATCTTGTTTAGCGTCAAAGGGAGGCGTGAGAATTGAGGAAAGCTAAAGGTTGGCCTTGGTGAAACAGAAGATGAATGACTCCCTGTTCATTCCTGCTTTGTCCTGTAGCTCGGAAGAGGCAAATAGTATCAGTTTCTCAGAGTCAGAATAGCAAAGCCAAGACTAGAGGCAGAATCAGAAATACTGTGGAAAACTTATGAACAAAAAGTTTTATCTTTAGTATGCACCATTTTTTTATTGTACAAAATAAGTCTCTGAGTAAAAATCAGTGTCTTATTCATTTACCTTATTTTGAAAAATTTGAGTTGACAAAATTTGGTTTAGGCTATCTTTTCAGTAAGTAATCCTTTCTAAGCATCCTAAGAGATGTATATAATTAAAACCATAGGATTCTGTGTGTATAAATGCACAAAACCTATTAGGATATCTTTAGTCTGGAAGTAAACTAGAGAGTTTAAGTTACAATCTTTGCCTCTGTCTCTTTGTAAAATTTCATCTGTCTTTGCCTTCATTCAGCAGTTGATCAGTGCCTTCTCTTGGAACCTGTTTTCCATCTGATACTGGGATATTCTGTTCTGGTTCTTTTTCTCATGTGTTTTTCCTTTCTCTGTTCCTGCAATTTCCTGCAATTCTGTCCTTAGCTGTCAGCACTTTTCTTGGCCATGTTGTACCTTAGCTTTCTTTGCTAACAGTTTCCAGGTTTATCTCACTTGCATTTTAAAAAAAATGCTAGCCACCTCTTGGATTCTGAATTCATACTGTTTCTCCATACCATTTTGCTCTTCAGTTTTCCTGTTCTTTCATCTTGCAGATATTCTTGTTGCTCGGCATAGCAAAAATGGCTTCATTGTTTAGCTCTTCTCATTATTTCTTGCTCACATCATATATAACCAAAGTATTCTACGTGTGACACATTTGCAACGTCTCAATTAGTCTTCCATATGGATAAGGAATTTTTTTCTTTGCTATTGCTTCTGTCCTGCCCTTTTATTTCATAGTCTCCACAGTATCGCGGCTAGATCTGTTCTCTTGGAATTTTCCAGGCTATGCTATCTCATTTGCTTTTATGCGTGTCCTTCCTTTGGTGTTGTTTAAGCATTTTGCTTAAAGTTAAATTTCTTCCAGTTGAAATTCTGTTAACCTGCACTTATGTATAAACTTCTATTTCATCTCTTACCTCCCTGTTCTTGCCCAGATTTGTGTTATCATGCATTTTTTTTTCCTTACTCTGCTTTTTGCTTGAAGCAGCCTTCCATGACATGCATGCTAAACTCCTTATTCCAACCCACTTTTACCATAAAGATCTGTAAAGCCATTCAGCATGTGTACACAGGATACAAGTCTATACTTTAATCTCCTGTACTCTGCACCCAAACAATCCTTACTCTATCTAAAATTCCATCTTCTTTGAGATAGATTAGATTTTAGTATATGCATACAGTGAATATGAATCTGTGAATAACAATAGAAAGCAAACCTCTAAGTAATATCTGAGCGTGTGAAGAATCATGAGCTAGGGAAGCTTAATCCTCTAGCTACTTTAAATAGGCAGTATTCTGATAGTATTGTTGCTTCTCATTTAGACTTCCTTGCATCTAATCGTTCTTTTTCTCACAAGATTTCTCGTGTGTCTTCAAAACTAGCAGTTTGCTCACTTCTGTTGTGTCCTAGGCAGTTTGAAATTGTGAAAGAAAGCCGCCAGTCAGGGAAAGCATCTTCCGTAAATGTTGATGATCACTTTGGCTTTAAGCACGTCATCTCTGGGTTTGGCTGTTTTAGTTCCATAGATATGAATTCAGAAACATGAGTGAAATAAGAGCTGAATGTTATCTTGTGAAAAATACTCACAAGTGTATTGTTGGATATGTTGGTGGTTTTGTGGCATGAAGAGACATATTTGAGGCTTTTAGCATTTGGGGAGAAAAAGCTGTCAAAGCTGTCTAAGGTCTGCCACTCATTTTGCAGAAAGGTTGCAATTATAATCTACTAGAAGTTTTTGCTTTTTTTCAAAAAGCTTATTGGACTTTGTCAGTAAAGATTTTAGCATCTTCCATATTTGCAAAACAGAAAAACAGTATTCCTTGCAATATCTTTATTGTACCTGTTAGAATAGTGAACCTGAGAAAGGAATAGGCCTTTAACAAGCCTGTCAGCTATGCTGTAATCTTTGCTCGTGTATGGAAATTTACCATATGCTTTTATCCTTGTGAGTTAAGGAAGGGAATGACAAGCTGAAGGGAGTAATATAAGGTAATGTGAAAACCTGATCTAACGCTTGCCTATTGGTCTGAAGGACTGCTCAGCAAAGGTATAGCTTTTTTGCACAAGCGGGGGCTGTAAACAGTATTTATTAAAAAGTAGTGAGAATCCTTGAAAATTAAATTAGAGGTAAGATATATGGCTATTGTTACTAAAATGTGAGGCCTTCCATTGCTTTGGGTCTAAATTTCATAAATGTCTTCTTGGGGAAGATTTCACAAAAACTCCAACCTGTGGTCTTGTGGGAGTGAAAGATCCTATTTAATGAGGATTTGGTACCTCCTCATGGTATGATAATGAGATTGCTTGTTTATGAGAAAAAGAGTGTGTGTGTAGGTGAGAACAATACTCTGGGGCGAAATATCTTTCAAATATTACCCTTATCTGTTCAGTGGATTTAAGTTTTGATCACAGTCAGTATTTTTTTACACTTCAGATTTCTGCCATCAAAGTTGTGCTAGTAAGTTTGACGGTATTTTCCTTGGTAAACATATCTGTGGTGGCAGAAGCACTGGTGTTAACAACTGTACCAGCAAAACAGTAATTCCACTGTTTAAATGGTAGTGTTAATGTGCTCCTACTGTAGATGTGATCACAGAAACTGAACGTTCATGCTGTAGGAGATGTACTGCTGCGGCAAATATACCATATTTTCTTTAGAGTTTTTAGTTCCTAGGACTGGTAACCCCATCCTCTAGTGAATATTTTTTTAGAAGTTCTATGTGATGTCTAACACTACAAGTATTTTAGAAAAAAATATGCATGTTCTATGACATAGCAGAGTTTGACTGAAATGGTAGGTTTTCATTACAGGTATTGCACCCTGCTGTGGAGTCTCTAGACCTCCGAGACTGTGATATTTCAGATAATGCATTATTGCAGCTTTATAACTGCAAGCAACTGAAAAAAATCAACTTAAATTCCTGCAAAGAAAACAGACTGGGAATCACTTCAGAAGGTATGTTATCTGTGCACAGATAACTGGGATCTTATTTCTGTTTTATTTTTCTTGTTAGATTGGAGTAAATTGCAAAAAATATCTAGGGTAAATAAGAATCCCCAATGCCACACCAATACTAATTAAAAGTTACTTCAGTGGTGTAAATTATAGCCTAGAGCACTGATTATCTTATGAAAGAGAGCTATCAGGTTACTCTCATGCTAGGTTTCTGGTAAAACTTTGCTAAACATTTGATCATATTTTTCACTTCATCTTAATTATTCCTTCCTCAAAACTTTTTCCAGAGCCTTACCAGTACCACTGGGGTTGAAGTTTCAGGCTTGTGATTTCCTAAATGACTTTTTTCCCCTTTTTCAATTAAATGTATTTGTTATTAAATAAGCTTAGAGCATCTTCTCTGACTTAAGTCTTGACTTGCTTTAGGACTTCAGGATTTCAGGTGTTACTTTTAACCTCCAGTTTCAAGTTGTATCAGGAGCTATTACCTTAAAACTCAGTAAGCTTAATTCTTTTATTTCCCACAAGTTTTGTTTTGTCTTTTGATTACACTTACTCCTTTGCTCCATCATTAACTCATACTTATTGAAAATTGAGGCAAAATATTAATTTAGTATTGAGCTAATGTATACTGTACTTTAGATCAGTCTTGGTTTGTATTTTCTTACCACTGCATAGTGATACACTTATCTTTTTACTTAAGTAATTGGTTAAACTTTTAAAATTTGATTTTATTTATTTTCAATGTCACCTCATTGTTATACTTTTTGACCCTAAGATACAGTTTGCGATGGTCTTCCTCCATGCCTTCATCTGTCCACTGATTTCTAGTACAGTTCTTAAGGTACCAGCTAAGCCTAGAGCTCTTTACTTTTCATCTATTTGGATAGAGATTCCTGATTACTTTGCAATTAAAACTGGGAAATCTAGTTCTTTATTGGCAAGTTCTTAATCCATCCAGCTTTACTAACTTTCCTACTTATAAACTGAGCCCTTTTTAAACTGAGAATCGATTATGAAGCCTTTAATGTAAGCTGGAACAGTTCTTTATCACTCATCTCAATTACATACAGAAAAAAAAGACCCAGAACCACCCCATTTTAAAGCAGTGTTACCTTTTATTAATTCAGTAACAGGTGGGGGTTTGTTTGGTTTGTTTGTTTGGGTGGGGGGGTTGGTTTCTTTTTGGTTTTGGTGTTTTGTTTGGGTTTGTTTGTTTGTTTGTTTTTTAAGAAACCTGCTGGCTACCACATCCAGAAATATCTGAGCCCTGTCATTACCAGGAAACATTTTTCTCTGTAGGTTGCATGTGGAACGTTTCGTGTCCTTTAATACAATATCCAGTAGTACTTACTTCTCTGTCAAGTTCAACTACCACTACTGTCTCTTCTATCATTCTTTGCAAAGTGGTTCCGACCCAAGCAAGTACTATTTTATCCATGTTTCTTTGAAGTTCTTACATAGTAACATATCTTAATGACATTCAACTTTTTATTTCTATCTATCCAGAAGTGATGTAATTTTCTGTACCGCTGTAATCATCATGTCTCCATCATCCTCCAAATAAATTCCTTTCGCGAATTGCATCTGTAGTTCACGTACTTTTATTTTGACTACCTTCAGACACTTCTGTGCAAATATTTTGGTTACTACTAACTGTCAGGGCTCTGAGGGCACCAACAGACCCTAATGGCCATGGCGGGTCTTACCTGCCATTCCCACCTACACCAGCTGCCCATGGACCTTCAGTCCTGGGCTGAGCTGTGTCGTAGGTGTACCTGGTTCCTGTCCTGCCTCTGAACTATTGTTTTGATTTCTTGAATTGACCTCGGACATGACCTCTTACCTTGCTTTTTGCCTGATATTCACTGCACCGTCAGTGGGACCTAGCACTATCATCAGTCTGCTTTCAAGCTGTTGGCTTTTTTTCATGCACTCACTGAGGTGGTACCTCATGTATATACTATCCCTCAGGTACCCCTCTGCAGTACGGAAGGGAATTCAGCATTTAGAAATTTTTATCAACTCTAGCATTGTTCATTGTCATTTTCCTTTTTCTCATCCTTGAATTAAAAGAAACCAACCACAAAATTATTTCCTTGTACAGAGTCTTGCTGGCATGGCATGAGATGAAAGTTGAACAGCCAATGATCAGGGGACAGCATATTGGATTCAGCATGGTGGTTATGTTAAAAAATCAATAATTCTTTAAATTGCTCTGGTTTTTGACAGGTGTCATAGCGCTGGCCTTATCCTGTCCTTACTTGCGTGAAGCGTCTTTTAAAAGGTGCTGTGATATAACTGACAGTGGAGTTCTTGCTCTTGCGCTCAACTGCCAGTTCCTACAAATAGTGAACTTGGGCAGCTGTTCAGGCATCATGGATGCATCTCTGCAGGCACTAGGAGAAAATTGCAAATTTCTTCACAGCGTGGACTTTTCATCTACTCAGGTAACTATGGTGGCAATTGCCTAATTTACTTCTGTTTGTTTATTTTTTAAGATTGTCATGATAAAATTGAAAGGGGATCTTTTTAACTCTACTCTTGAGAACATTTAGGACCACAGTTCACTTCCAATTTCTTCCTCTCAAGGAAAAGGAAAGATATATTTTTGCATCTTGGTAACCAGATAAATACATATTTTGGTATTACAGCATGTATTGTGGACCAAAGATAAACTTTTATTGGAATCTACCTAGTATTGGAGATTTTTTTTTCAGTATCTTTATTTAGTGCAATCATTTTTTTCAAGTTGTAAAGTAATACAAAATACTTCATTTAAAGAAAGTAGAATCTTGGACAGATTATTGTCTGCTTTCAGTTAGGACAAACTGACCTGAATAATAATAATATAGGATGTCAAACAATATAAGCCCCTAGTAGAAGTAAACACTCCATAACTAGTTCTAGTTCAAGAGTGACTGCTTTCTGAATGGCTTGTCAGAGTTATGTTATGGAGTCAACATGGAAAGAACGACATTTAAAATGTCAGAAAGGGCAGGTAAGAGGATTTAACAGCAGTTAGTATTTAGCATGAGAAGGGGGAAATCAGCTGCAACAGCAATACTGTAACATACTTCGTAATTACAGTAAGATAATGAAGTGGGGGAAAGGATTTTTTGCGGTAAGTGTAGCGTTCAGTTGACTGGGATGGTGAGTATTTCATGTTGAATGTGAGTCAAGCACAGAGCATTCGTAATGAAGTGTCAGATCTGGAAAACACGTAGCAGGCTCTTATTTTAGATGCTATTCTTCTCCTTTCAGTTTTTCCAGAAGTAGGGCATAAAAAGTAATTTAATATTTTCTTTGGTGATTTTTATTATTATCATTTAACTCTGTTTCTTCCAACTTATTTCATTACTTTTTTGTTCCCTTGCCCCTCTCTTCCTTCATGTGAAATAGCTAAGTTTCCCTGTATGTTTTAAATGAGATGGAAGCTTCTTGAGTAACTAAACGTTTCCACATTTTTTTTCCTTTCTGATAATCGTATCATGATAATGCACTAGAATTCTGAATTTCATCTGACTAAAAATAAATGGAAACATATACCAGATATAAATGAAATAAGTTTAAGATGAAGCAGAGAAACTATGGATGGCACATGCCTGTAGAGATTGCAAGGCCTAACCATATTCTTGTGTTTGATTGCCAGAATGCATAGTAAAAATATCAAGTTGGAACTGGCAAAGCTGTGTGTAAAACAGTGAGAACATTGGAAATAAATGAACAGGCAAAGAAGGGCACGGCTCACTTGCAGGAACAAGGAAGTAGATGTGAGCTAGACTACCAAGGGGCCAAATGCCTCAAGGTGATGTAGCCATTTTAAAAATAGGCTTATCTGGTGACTGCAATGATGAAGTACAGTAAGTGGAAGGTATAGAAGTGGTGAAAAATAAAAAGAAATGGGGCAGGTGAGGCAAGGGAAGGATTGGACTATGAAGGAGATGTAGCTCTGTGTCCCCTGTATACACACAGAGTGTGAGTGGAAGCTTGGCCTGAAGAACTCTGCTACACCGGCCCAGGACTGCGTAAGAAATCTATTTATGTTTACTTACCAGTATGCTTATGTTACCATTCTGAGGAGGTAGGTTCTATATATAAACCATGTACTTACTGCTCTACTTCTAGTGTGCCCTAAATCCCAGCAGCGTTAACAGGTAGAAACACAGGCTCAAGAGTCCAAATCCCCGCACTAATTAAACAGTACATTTCCTCTTAAATGTTCATTGACTCGGTGTATGGCAAATAATTGTGGGAAGAATCTTGCCTGACAGGGCTGTGCAAACTGCAGCAGTTTTCTGTGTAGGGTGTGGGACAGTTTAGTTCTCCGCAAAATGTGTTGGCAAAAGCAGGAGTGCTGCGGGTTAGCCATTTTATCTGTCCAGACACTTCTCGTGTAGAACAGAGCTGGGTTGCTAATGTACTTAACTGCTGGTACTGGGCTATGTAAGCCTTTGCTAGAGATGCATACAGAGATCGGTGACAACTGATCTGTACCAAGAAGCTGATGTATTTGTGGCTTGGTACTAACTGCAGGTGGTTTATCCCCAATGTAAGAGTGCATCCCTTGAAGAGGATGGGCAGATGTGGCATTACAGGCAATGCTCATAGGTATTGAATAGAGTAGGAGACAATACTGCAACACTGTAGTAATAGTATAGCAGTGGTTACTGTGAGCTCGTACAGGGAAGTGAGGGGACTTTGTTTTAATACAAAAACTGGACAACTCTCACGCTGTCATAACCTTATACTCACAAGCATCAAGACAATAGCATTCAGATGGTCTCTCCAGTGTTCAGACACCAGCCAGGCAGTCTGGTCCAGGTTTGTTTTGATGACATGGAGGATAAGGGACACAGGCTATCAAATCTTCATCACTTTACTTGGTTGGTCTTAGGTTGGTGACCACGCACTGGTTTTGGATTCCTTTAGGAACTGACAGTGATTACTCTCTCCATTCTGTCCAACTTATTGGAGTTATTGGAATTTTTCATTTACTGCCCTTTGTCTCCTGGTCTGGATGTCTTCAGGAGCTAAACATGCTGTCACCTTGATGACCTGCTAAGCTAGGTATAGCTTACCTGCCATTCTTATAGGCTTTTATGTGCCTCCATGCTGGGACGTTCCTGTCCATTCTCCATTCGCACTGATCTGACCCTTTCTATTACAGTTCTGTACAGTAGACTTGCAATAGAGGGCCAGAAGGCAGTAAGACAATTTATGCAACAGGAATAATCAAATCTTTAAACAGAAATGGGGCTTGTGGTCTCTGGATTCTACCTGTCAAATTTGGCTGAGCCTTACTGTGTATATTTGATGACTACTGTTCCTGCCATCTAATATAAGGTCTATGAAAAAACCTGTGTGACAGATATGATACCCAATCCAGCTTTTGAAGTGGGGAGGATGTTTAATGAATTTGGTTCTCAGAAGCCAACGAATAAATTGGCCTTTCTTGCCTTCTAAGGAAAGGAATGTCTTCTGTCTCTCTCCTCTCTCTTGCAGGTGATCATTGCTTCGTGGCTGTCTGTAGCCAATCACTTTGATAAATCTTTTAGTGCGAGTGTGTGACAGCTGCTGTAAGACTGCTTGTTTGAGGGATTTTTGTCTTATGTAACTGGTTTGCTTCAAGATAAGTAAGACAGCAGATAAGACTGCTATGATTACCTTTTTTTTTTCCCCCCAACCCAAGAAACCTCCTTCAGGAACATCTTCAGCAGTCCTGAAAACAGGAAAAAAATTGGTCTAGGTAGAGCAGAAGTGCTTTAAACCTTATAAATTAAAAGTGCCATGCTCTGACCATAATAGTGTACCCACTGTTAAACGAGACAAGGAAGCTGCAGAAGTAGCAGTTACACAGTTGGAAACACCCCAATAGAAAGCCAGGCTGGATCACATGGCAGTAAAATGCAACAGTGTTTAATAGACTGAAAAAAACATACTTGGATAATTTTCTCTACAAGCTTAATTGGGAAGAAAATACTGTAATGTCAAGTGTATTCAATGACTGACTGCAGGGAGTAAATAAAATAATTCTCTCTCCCCCCCCCAAATAGCTGTGTTTGGAAAAAATTGAGCTTTAATTCATTGTGTTAATAACAATGTGGGGTTTTTTTCTCTAGGTAACAGATGATGGTGTCACAGCACTAGTGAGTGGAACATGTTCAAAGAATTTAAAGGTAACTTACTTAACCTAATAACAAAGAAATGAACAAAAGCAAATACCTGCATTTTTTAATTATTATTATCAGTATTAATTCCGAGTGATGGTTTTTATTGACTGACTTTTGCCTTTGTTTGTGTACACACTTGCCCTGATTTTGGTTATGAATTGAATATTTTCTGTCTCTCTGTACCAGTGCCCCAGACCGGCTTTTTGAGAACCTCAGTCTCTTCAAAATTAGTTTCCTTCTGTTGAATGTAGTATGCTTATTTTAACTCATGTTGTTTTAGAGAGCTGTATAATAAATGCAAATGAATGCTTAACTTTTTCCCTTGATGTCTTTGGAGTTATTTCTTGATTCTGTTGAACGCTGAGGCAGAGTTTGTAATGTGGATAATTTCATGGATTTAAGAAATCAGTTAGCACCTGTGCATAGGTAAATCTCTAACTCACGAAAGCAACTGTGAAAATGAAGTTGTCTTTGCATAAAGATTCTCTAGGCACTGAGACAGTGATAAAATGATGGAGAAGAGGCATCCTATACCTCTGACCATAAATGATCTTCTACTTTTCTCTATAGTACCTTTCTTATCTGTGTGCATGGTTTTGCTTTCGTAAAGGCTGGTTCTGAATACAAGCTATTCATCTAGAAACTAAGATGGGAAATAAGTTATACTTTTGCTAGTTTATAGTGTTTAATAAAAAAACCAACCCTAAACAACATACCAAATCTGGGTCAACTGACAGTATTAATAAGATGGAAAAAATAGAACTGTTATTGTTTTATTTGGAGGACGAACAGTTAGATTTGGTTTTGGTTTTTTCCAGATGATTTTGTCTGTTTTGGACAATCTTTTTAGTCTTGATAGGTCTTGTGGTACAAGATGAAATTATGATTTTTCAGACCATAGCAATGAGACTTTTTTTTTTTATATATATATACTAGAAGTGACTTGAAAATATCTTTGTCTTTTAGCTGGTTACACCTTTAGCTGTAGCAAAACATTGATTCCAGATTTTCTAAACAACCCTGAGACTATGCAGATAGTCTTCAAAAGACACCTCTCATATCCAGTGTACAAATGTAAAGCAATGTTTATCACTGTGGTTTGGATTAGGTCATTTGGACTAGGTCACTCTCAAAAGTCTTCAGTACATATGTCTTAAAACACAAATACTGTAATAAGTTTTCCTAAGTTTATTGTAATAAGCTTTGGGTTTGCTGTTGAGTAGAGTGGGGTTCTGTGAAGTTCCTAGAGAGTTTTGAACTATTTTCCAGCAATGTTGGTATAATTACTCTGTCAGTATTATCTTCCCTCTTCTGTATCATTGTCCACAGTTTGCAGAGAACTATATTCTTGTGTGTAAGCCCTTTTTCTTCGAACCATAGAAACACAGTTCCATTTATTCTTAATAAAAATTTCCAGCTTACAAAATGTGGCCTTTGGTGTCTCCTGGTCACATTGCTGTAGTTACTATTTCTTTGAAAGTGCACAGGCTTTTTTTTGTGTGTGCTGCACATGGATGCCTGTGGAAGCTGTACTAGATCAGGAAGAACAAGTTAGGTAGCTTATGTAAGACCTGCTTCATCTGTAAGTGTTCAAGAAAGTAATGTTGAGGTGGTGAGCTTTGATTTCAGAAGAGCTAATTGGAAATTTCAGTCGTGCCAAACTGAATAGTAGTATGGATTTTGCTTGTTCGTTTTCCTGTGCTCAATACTTGTTTCCACTTTCTTAAAAGCCATGTATTTAAGTGCTTTTGCATTTGATTTTTTGGGTGGTTTCTGTGCAGTTTTAATAAGGCTAAATTTAAGGTTTTTCTGTGGAATGACAATTTTAAAAACAAAAGTTGTGTTCTATCAGTATAAAAAGCTAAAACGGTTTAGGTCTCTTGGTTTACAAGCAGTAAGAAAAAGAAATGTAGAGAATATGGAGTTATTTGCTACAATCTCTTCTTCAGTGTAACTCTCTTCCTTGTCTGTGTCACAATCCTCATACCTCTGTTTCATGTCATCAAAGTGCAAATTTATAGACAGTGATCTAATGTCAGGTACACAGTGAAAAAAGTAGGGTCTTCAAATTCTCAAACTGTAACTAGCAGACAAATTTATAAATCTTTTTACTTCATTCAGAGGCATTCAGATTCCACATTTCGTTTACTTATTAAAATGAACTAAAAACTATACATATATCAGCTTTTGTATATCTTGCTTCTGTGAATACAGTTCTTGTTTTCTGTGTCATCATTCTGTACAAAGTTGCATTTATTACAAAAGGTCCCTTTCATTTCTGTGCTCTTTCAAGATCCTTGGAGTTTATCATTTGGAAAGATGCTCTTTCACAATAAAACTGAGGGGTTTTTTATTTTTACCCTAGGATCTCCAAAGCATATTTTCCCAAATCCTATTTTCATTACATTTGATAGTCTCTCTTCTGCATTTCTTCTTATATGTTCTATTTATTGATATGTAAGGCGTTTTAGAGGAAAAAAAAAGTTGGTGGTAATCTGTTAATGTATTCTGAATTTATTCTTTCTCTAGCACATACAACAGGTACTAGTTATACAACTGCACAGAAATGAAGAAGAGAGCAGGTTGTAGTCTAGGCTTGGAAGAAGTTCTTAGACTTCTTTTAGAAACTATGTAGATAGATAGATATTAGGAACTTCAGCAGAGACTCATGAATCCTGCCTGTTTTGGGAAACCCCAGAATTCAGTTTGGGTTCTGTTCTCCTGGACAACAAATTGCTAGGAGAATGTGTGTCATAGGAAAACGGATGGGACTCAAACACCATAGAATCTCATTGAAGAGTTTTCTCAGTTGTCTTGAATGATATATGTGTTTTGGGAAAACCCAGGTTTATGTTTGTAGTTTTGACTCCTCATAGAAAAGCTGTCTTATTTTTCCTGAGGATATTTTCCCAGTCTGTGCAGGACCGCATACGGGGTCAATGTACAGAGGAGTGTAGGTCATTATTTCTTCTGGGTGGGGATCTCTGAAAATGGTTGGGCAAAGGAAAGCTCTGCCTCCAAAATGATGGGTGCTCTGACAGGCTTTTGTTACTACTGTTTTCATAACAGGAGATCCACATGGAACGCTGTGTGAATCTGACCGATGTCGCTGTGGAAGCGGTCCTTACTTGTTGTCCGAAGATACACATTTTTCTGTTCCATGGATGCCCATTGGTGACAGGTACATCAAATCGTGCAGGGAGTAAGAAGAGTAGTTACTTCCTGATAGTATCTTCTTGCTCTCTGGAAAAGCACACTATACATTGTAAATAATCCCAAACAAATAATAACTTAATAGATAAAATAATAATCATACATTGAGATTTTCAAAGCAAGGAGACAGTTTTGCTTTGAAACATGGCAACCTTCAGAGAGGGATTTTTTTTTCCTTTTTTTCCCCCCCTCAACATGCTGACAAAGTCCCAAAGTTGACGGTAAGACTTCAGAAAAATACATTAGCATGTTAAAACCCTACTCTATTCCAAAAGTATGGAACAGCATCCATTCAAGAAACAGTGGAATGGAGTAGGACTGGTCAGCCTGAAAAAAACCCCAAACTTAAGAGGGGTTATGATCTATCTTGCGTCTTTTAAGTTCGGTTGGTTGGTGATGCTTTACAGTTATGTGATTGGAGAAAGAACCGAGTGGTTTCAAATTACTACAGGTATATCTGAAGTGTGATATTGTAAAAGCAAGATAAGCATAAATGCAGATACATAATTTAATTATTTTGCTGTTTACCTAATTTCTAAACACCACCTATATATATTCTGAATGAATAACAAGAAATTCCTTGGTTCTTTTGCAGATCGTTCCCGAGATGTTTTAGAGCAGCTAGTCATATCAAACAAAATCAAGCAAGTAACATGGACTGTTTACTGATTATTTATTGTGTACGTATGAGTGTAAAGTTTACAGATGGGAGAGCTCTTTCAGAAAACAAGCACCTTGGAAAAATAGCTGGTGACTTTTGTACCACCACATTGCTTCCCTCCTTGTGCCCACCAGAGGTCTCCATCGCCATTCCAGTCCTTGTCTGTGAGTCTGGGCTTCCCCATTGTCTCTACTTAGAGCCCTGTCTCTCTTTGCATCGCTGATCATACTTCGTTAAGAGGAAAGTTAAACTATAATTAATATTACACTGTCATCGCTCAGCCTCCTTGAAGTATCAGATTTGGCTACTACTTACCATCTTATAGCATTTTAGCTACACATACAAACCCAATTTAAGTAAGTCTCTGTTCTGAGGTTGTAGTCTGAGAGTGTAGTTGCAACTAGAAGTACCAACCCCAAACATAGTATTAACACTTGTGCAGAGTGTCTGTGAAGTTGGGACTTTAACCTGACAAAAGTCAACAGACAGAACTGGTGAATGGAGGTGGCATTAGCAGCAATGCAAGTGTATTTTAAGTAGGAACAAACAGTCTCCTTTCACCATGTACTTTTGCTAGGTCTGGAAGAAAAACTGTAGGTAGCTTTTCTTTTGATGTTACCGATACTGCAGGTTTTGTTTTTATTTACCATCAAATACTTGCTGGATTTTTACACATCCAAAAGTACAGTCTGTTAACATGTGAACAAAAACTTGCTTTGAAATTGTTGTGATGATTTAACAAATTTAGAGTAGTACCTATGACCAATAAAAGAATCTTGTATATGGGCAAATACTTATTTGCTCTGGCTTTTACCTATGTTCCTGCATGAAAATTCTTTTAGGGAACAAAATATTGGTCCTCATAAGCGTAGCTGAGTGAAATAGAACCAAATTTAGTGTCTGAGTACATGAATCTCAGGACGGTAGAGTTCAGCAGAGTATGTGTTCCGCTGTATGCGGTTTGTTATATCTCCAGTGGCCTCCAGAAGCTGATAATAACAACCATTTATATATTGTTCAATTGTAGTCATATTAAAGAAAAAAAAAATTAGAAGTATACAACGAGTTTATTACATGATGGAGCAGTGGTCTCATCACAATTATAAGTCATGCTCATTGGCTTTCTTGAAACAGCATAACCTCTAGTGGGACTTCTATGATTTTTGCATTAAACTTTTTTAAGTGCTAGCAATTTTAGCGTTATACAAGGCAGATAGCACACTATGTTGATACTCTGCATCTGGAAGTAGCAGGGTTTAGCTAGGGTGGTCTTACATGGAACTGATGACGCTTAGAAACCCATGAGTTTAGGCAACCATAACGAATATGTTTACTTTATAATTTAACACTTGTCATAGCCACACTCATTTTAAGTGTTGCAGAAATAAACCAGTCTTCTACTAATCTATTTAAAGTTCAGGTCAAATTGCATGGAAGATAATAATTTAAGATACGTTGCATCCAGTAATATTAAAGGATATTACGATGTCTGACAATAATCTTTGTTCTTCTGTTGATTATATGGTTTATGGAAGAGCAAGTCCATTTAGAAAACTTGTTCAAGGGTAACTGAAAGCATAATTTTCAAACTCCAGTGCCTAAGTGATGAATGTGTTCCTATGATACTTACAGGTATAACTGCACTAGTACAAAGCATTCCTGCAAACAGGAGAAGTTGGTTTTGCTACATTAGCAACTAGCGTCTGAACGCTGTAATTGCAGCAAATCCTTGGACCAGATAGAGGCCTAAGAACCTAATCTACCACATTTTATTCCCCTTTTTGGCTAAAGAGTAGTTTATTGTTTTGCCCTGTAGAATCCCTGGTATCGATCAGGGTCCATCATTCCTTTGAACTCTCGGACATGAGTTGGCAATAAATTTGTTTTGCACTATTTTTCATATTGATCCATCTAGCTGATTAGGCAGCAGCAATGAGACGCTCAGTAATCATGTCAAATAAGTAAAGCATAAGGATCAGGCTGCTAGCCGTGGTTTTAGGAAGGGTGCCACAAAAGGAGGAAGTAGAATTGTAAGCTAACTCAAGCGGGAAGGGGCCTCAGGAAGTTTCTAGACTTAACTTCCTGCCCAAAGCAGCTCAGAGCTCACACCAGCTTAGTCAGGGCTTTATCCAGCCAAGTCTTGAAAAGCTGAAGACTGAAGAGCCTTCACAACCTTTTGAGGCAACTCGTTCCACTGCTTGACTGTATTCATGGTGGAAAAAAGTTTTCCTTCTATCCTGTTTGACCCTGTTTTGTTTCAGCTTACACCCTTTCTCACTGGAAGAGCCTGGCTGTCGTCCTGACAACCTCCTCATAGGTATGGGCAGGCTGCTCCTAGGTCCCTTGAAGCCTTCTCTTCTCCAAGCTGAACAAGCCCAGTTCCATCAGTCTGTTACTGTAAGACATGTAACTATAATGTAGTGTGGTGATGGTCTCCAGACTCTCATATCAAGTGCTACATCCAGAAAGGAAATTATAAATGAAGAGAATGTAAAGCAGCTGAAGGTGGAAGACCACCAAAGTCTGTAACAGCAAAGGACACTTAAAAAAAATTCTATCTATGGGACAGTGCTACTGCTAACCTCACTGGCAAAGTTGTCCTTTTTCCCCTTGCTAATGTAACCTTGGATTTGTCATGTTGAAGGCAAATGCAGCTTACACTGTGTCCTTAAACGTGCATGTAGATTTACTGTCTTCTGTAGCCGCTTCTAAATGTGTAACTTGGTGGTATATCCTCACCTTGCGTTTAAGAATCTGTATAACACTGCAATGAATTAACACTGTATTTTTAGGTTTGAAAGTTTAATGTAAGTCATGTTAAATCCTTCATTGTCAGAGCTTGAGTCTGCGCTCTCAAGTGTTTATTACTAGCGTAACTCTACTGGAATGCTTTTCGATTCAGGTTAAATCACAGTCATTTTCAACAAATGTTTACAAGCGCTGGGTGAAGAACATCATGTATGCACTTATCATTTCATATTCTGTATTGTTTGGATATTGTTATTGTTGTAAATTGTTGGGCGAGCACCACAGAATATTCACATATTGTTCTGAAGATTAAAGTTTGTAAGTCTTCTGTTTGGATAGTTCTGTAAACTTGTTAAATTATATTTTATGACCATGTACATCTGAATGTACCTCGTACTTCATGAACACTGTGGTTTTCTGAATGAGTACCACATACTTTTTCGTGTTTATAAGCTTCTACCACATCACCTGGTATTTGGATAGTTGTAGGTGCATTGTGTTCCATTCTGCAGTTTTAGTTCCCCATCACTGCTTGTTCAATAGTTAACTGCTAAAGGTGACAAGTCCTTTGAGACTGCTCTGAAAACATTGGTTTCTTCATCAAATGGCTGTATTTACAGCCTCTGACCTGTGGATCAATTTTTTTTTTTTTTTTTTTTTTTTTTTATTGCTGCAGAGGGTTCTCCCTTGACAGATGTAGCTGAAAATGATTCTGGAGCTTGTTGTCCAGCATCCCCTCAAGCGAAGAGAAAAATATTTATATCTGACTTTTATTCCCAGTTTTTATTTAGTTACCTTCTGTTCAGAAGCATGACAGAAGAAAAGATTTCTTCATCTCTCACCAGCTTCCCATGATGACAGATTGCCTTTTTTACCCCTGCCAAGTTAGGGAACGTAGATCATTTGACCCTACTCTCTAGGGGATAAAGTTACCCTATAGCTATTACTATTTAGTCACTTTCCACTTACTAAAAACTTTTACTTTGGCTAGAGTTCAAGAAGCATAGTTTAGATTTGTGTGTAACTCCTAAATAATCACTCCGGCTGCTTCAAGGAAGAGTAAATTTTTATTATAGAGGGGAAGGGGGAGATTCAAATTAGTTACTTTGACATTCAGAAGAGATAGCCAGAAAAAGAGCAAGGCACTTTAAGTTGAGCATAGTATGAGCTAATAATCTAGCGGAGAGTTTTATGAAGGACAGCAATAATTTTCTCTGTAAATAAGCTGCAGAAGTCTGTGAAAGCAGTGCAGTAATCTTTCAGCCACCGCCTTCTCCCCACAGCAGTATGCTGGACGTCCAAAACATTTCACAATAGTGTCAGGGAGCAAGACATGAATATACATGAAAAACATCAAGCATGCAAACTCTTGCATGTAACTTGTTTTTGGATTTGCACTTCAATGCAGGCCCCTTTGAATACAGTTTGCATGTAGTTTTTACCTCAAATGGAGCGAAAGCCTCAGTGAGCACTACTGAAATCAGTACAGTGAAGGTACAGTAACCTACTTTGCATCAACAGATATGTTCCGTGTTTAATTCCCATTATCATTTTACATACTTCAAAAAAAAGCCAACCAAGTGAGACAAAATTCATTAGAAAGCCAGCTTCAACAGTTTTCTGAGCTATTTGAGGGCTGATAACTCCAGACGATACTCGATGTTAATCCATTGTTTTCTTGTCTAGTATACTCGGGAAGTGAATATTCTATAACTTTGTGCAACTGACTGTGAATGCTGTGGCTTAAAAACTGATGCCTGCCGGGGTCACCAATCAGCACTTCAGTTTGCTGTATCCTGATGCATTTCCTCAGCCAGTGATGCAGACCGTCAGCAAGCTGTTCATCATAAAACATGTCTCCTAGAACAATGAGGTCCCAGTTGCCGGCCTCTGAATTAATGATGTTCTTAATGGTGATGGGGAAGGGATTCAGGTGGTTCAGTTCACAGTTCAAGATCATTGCCATTCCTGCAACTGAAGAAAAGTCAAACTAAAATGAAAGTTACATTTCAGGATTCTACATTCAGCCCCCTTACAAATTTCCTTGACACATCTTTCAATTGCATCTCTTAAATATTTTTGTTTATCCTATCTAGGGACTTCCACCGTTTTCATTATGGGTCAAAATCTGGCAGAAAGTGATGGAATTTTATCCTCGTTGCACCATGACACAGAGAAGAACTATTCCTGGAATGGATACCAAGGGAAACAAATCACGGAATCAAACCAGAATATCTGACTGCCTTAATCTATGGATATACTTCCTCCTTAACCGATCAGTAATTAAATTACGAATAAATTGAATTCGTAAGTCAATTATGGGAAAACAAAGTCTGGAAGAAGAAGGCAAAATCTAGGCCCCAACATATGGAAGTGCAGGAAAATGCTATGGTCCTACAGAGAAGCCAACTCGCCGCCTGCGCTTGGAGTTCTCTTCCAAACCAGCCATGACGGTGTATAGGCAACGCTTGATAGAAACTTTGCTGTTTGTTCATTCTAAGGAGCTATGGAGATATTCTCAGTGGAAGAGAGGCTGGTACAACCCAGCTCCTAATACTGGCAAAATCCATTCATCTTTTTAGCATTCTTAGAACTCTGGAACCTGAATTTCTCCCAAACGGAGCAAAGAAGAGTCTGTGTTAAATGTGCTTTAAAAATTAATAAATATCTTTACAGAGATGAAAAAAAAAAGGCCTTACTAGGGTCGATGTCATTGGCAAGGACTTGCGATGCACCACTCATCACAGCAGCTATTGCTGTTGCTCCACATCCACTTCCAAGATCCAAAACCGATCGTCCTTTAACAACGTGTGGATTATCTAAAATATACCTGAAAAGAAAAACTGTTAAAGTGATGAACAAGATTATGCAAATTTCTCAGTTTTGCATTACACTGCATAAGAGTTCTTGTCATACATGTAATGAAGCGTGGTATCTTAAAAACACTATTCCACATGTGCAGCTGGTAGCTCCCTATTTGTCTCTGCTGATACAAAAATCAAGAACCGTGGTCTTTCTCCCTTACTTCTCCCCCACCTCCCAAACAAAAAGAAATCCAGCCAAGTAGGCAACATTTTATTTCAATCGGCTCCTTCTGACAGGTGAGCTTATCTAATAAATGGACACAAACTACAAGGTGACTAAAATGCTTGTCATCAGAAACTGGAAAGTAAGGATTTGTAGAAATTAAAAGCAATCTGACTGAAGAAACATGAAGATGTATTTGCGGTGAATATTGCGCCTGTCAAAAGACAGACAAGGCATACCCATTTCCCTAAAACACTGCTTATGCAACTGCTTGGAAGAAGAGGAATGTCTCCTCTTTCTGTTCCTGAGCCATGCAGACACAGATGCAAATACTTCTAAGTCTGCTTAATGTTGTTCCTGAGTAGCAACAAGAAAATGAGAATAGAGCAGCAGTGAGCAGAAAGAGTATCTTCATCTAGTTGCTGACACCTGCCAAGAGGAATCGGCAAGCAAAAACCTCTAGACTGGAAATGGAGAAGAACTGACAGAAAGCAAGCAGCAGTTATTGTTGAACACTACGACTCATATAGCCATTACTGACAGTTCAGAACTTTAACAATTGCCTTGAAATTCAATCTTCTGCAAGGGGGAAGGCCCTAAGTGACAGGGGGAAGAGCCCTAGGTGACATAAATTACTGCAAATTGCCATAAATTTACTACGAGTTGCCATAACTTCTGTTCAAGTAGAAACAGGAGAGGATTCTACATTTGTGTTGTCTTCTGGCATGGAGGGTGATGGCTGACTCTTGACGCAGGGCTGCTGGTAAGCACAGCTTCTGCAGGTGAGTTCCAATGCAGAGAACTGTAATGGAAACGTTAAGATTGGTGTAAACGGGGAATGGATGGATGGAAATGCCTGGGCCTAGAAGCACCAGCAGGAATGGCAGAAGGAGGCCTAATAAGAGTGTTAATGGCACCTAGATCCCAGCACATCTGTATAGAGATTCCTAGGAGCCCAGACCAGGAGAGCAAAAGACAACCTACGCTCAAACTGAACAGTTCAAGCCATTAAGAGACCACAGCAGGAAGGTCAAGACCAGGACTGAAGATACAAAATACCCAGATCAGGAACCCAGGAGACATGAGGAGGACCTGACATCCCGTGCCTCTTGTCCTGCATTTCACCACAAGGAATCCTACCAGACAGCTTGGACATGCACAGCTTGGTGCTTGTGAGTATGTGGTTATAAATCCAACGACTGAAACTGGCTCAGTTTTAATGAAAATCACCTTCTCCTGTAAGGTCTGGCACCCAGCTTTGTTACACCATTACCATAATGTTGCAGCATTATTTGCTACTTTGAAGATCGACAGATGCTCGCTTTTCTGAGGGCACCCAGGCCGGACATTTGTGCAGAGGCTCAGCAGCTCAGCGGTCTGGCCACACTCCCCCTGCGGCCTTCACTTCTCTGTGGACAGCCCATAGTTTACCAACAGGGTGGAGGACAGGGATGGGACCTCCACAGAAAGTGCTCTGTTTCCCCTTTCGGGGGGGGGGGGAATTTTGGGGGGGGGGGGGGGGGGGGGGGGAATTTGTGCTTGGATTTGCAGTGACTTTCCAGCAGTAACTTGTGTAGAGCGTGATCTGGCCTAAAGCTGCAAGTGCCTTGTTCCCAGCCGAGTGGTTCTCAAGTTACCACTAATGATTGTGGTGACTTAGGACAGCTGGAACCAACTGCATCCCCTGGCACGCACACAGTGCATTACGCTGCTGTTGGAGACTGCTGTCTGCTATGCTGGGTTAAGGAGCTATCTTAGGTTACACCAAGAGGAATAGCTTGAAATAGGAGACTCCTGATGTTGTGGAAATGCCAACTGTGAAACGAACACAGTTACGGAAGCAGCATGTTTTCGTGCTCCCTTTTTCTTTTTACTTTTCCAGATTATGCAGCTAATTTCTGATATTCCCAATACATCAAAACAAGTGCATAAACAATAAGTCAATAAAGTGGTGAAATGCCAGATAATTATTATTGCTACCCAAACATCTGGGCATATGAATCGTACAGTAACAAAATGTAGAGATTACCTTACCTAATTTAATTACACAATGTTTAGGAGCACTCTAGTTCATCTACACGGCAGGCTAATCAACTCGCAATTTAACTGTAACTCATCTTTTTCCTAGTCAAAACACCTTCCTATTTATGCTTTCTTGCAGAAAAACAGCAAAGCCCCAATTCAGATCCTTCCCTTTCATCTATGTGGGGAATGTCTGACAGCTTGTTCTTTGCTGTAAAAATTATTAATTTTTTCTGCTGGTCAAGGTGAGAGATTTGCTTTTAGAGAATAAAAGAACTCTAACTAGTTCCTGGGAGTCAGGAACATTAAAGACACTTTGACAGTAAG